ATGTGTGGGATATGATGGGTAGGAGATTGCTCAATTTGCAACGTCCTCCTCAGACTCTAGAAGCACTTCGAGAGGAGTTGGTGGTTGCCTGGAATGAGATACCACAGGAGGGCATTGACCACCTGATCAGAAGCATGCTTAGGCGCGTTGGAGAATGCGTAGCACATCAGGGTGCATCCACACATTATTAAAGGTCAAAGGGCTTTAAAGCAGTGCAATCATTTTGAGATTTTTATCATTTACTTATTATGCTTCATTAAGTACTTATACAAAATTTTATTAAAATAAAACCATGTAAACTGGGTGCTCGGATTTATATGTCACTTAGTATATGTTCATATAATGATATCAAGAATTGTGCCATTTTCAAAATACTCATTTGTTTGTAGATATTTCAAAATAAGTTTCAACAACTTTGTAAGGTCAATATTCGTGCTCAGTTTGCTTTTTGCTTGCATCTACCTCTTCATATCAAACGCAGTACGTTGATAGTGCATATTTCATTATAATAATTAAATAAACTAACTATATAATCCTGCCCACGGTCTTGACTAATTCAATTAATCCCAGCTCATTTACGGGCAAGATTATCAATTACAAGTGGCAAAGTATCGGTTTCAGCCCTTGAGGGGTATACCTGAGAAACAAAAGAGCGCGCCTGCAGTGGTTCTTCATCGATACCCTTAACGCCCTACAGCGTTAGTTGGTGCACGCCCTATTTTGTTAGGTCATCTCGAGTAATCCTATATTCTTGATATAAATTGTAGTTCGTAATGAGGTCGGCAATACAGCTAATAAAACTCATTTGCGTGGATTTTGTGACGTTATTAATTGCCAACTAAAATTATCCATGTCAATGGACGCAGTCAAAAAGTGACCCTTTAGCGCTTTGGTTTTTACTTTTTTGTTCTTCGTTCTTCTGTAATAGGCCTGCGTCTGTTTCCGCTTTATGAAAACAATAATATCCACTTTAAAGATTCAATAATATTACAGTCTGTAAAAGCCATAATTTCGTCAATTTTGGCTTAACAGACTATGTTAAAAATCTTATCAAAATAAACTAATCTTATTATCCTCGGATGTCTTATAAGGTCTAATTTAGATTGGCTACCTCAAAAATTATAATACACCCAATTTTAGGGGTTTTGAGACATTATATCGCTTATAACTTGAAAATGGTGAACTTTAGAGGACGCTTACAGATGTTTTTCTTGCTCAGAATGATTCAGAAAACCGACAAAAAAACATTGTATTTTTTTTAAATATTGTTTAAACAAATTTAAACTGTGTTACCGGTATATTAAATGTAAAAATTCGGCAAAAAATTGAAATTTTTAAGGCCGCCAAATATACTAAGTGACACATAAATCCGAACACCCAGTTTAAATGGTTTTATTTTAATAAAAGTTGGTGAATGTATTTATCTTACTGTAAATAACAAGTGAAAAAAATTTCAGCCTTATCAGTTGGACATTCCGGTTTTTATACTGCTTTTTTTTAATTCACTAACGCTCTAAAAATGAATATTTCAGCAGCAGTAAAGAATCAACGTTGGCGGATTTTGGTTCTTGACATCCTTTACGATCGGTTACGATGCCTAGAGTACGGAGACCTGTACGATTTCGTCAACTTAGTGAGTTTGATAGGGGCCGTATAGTGGGACTTCGGGAAGCTGGACTTTCTTTTCGGGCAATTGCTGTTAGAGTGAAAGAAGTTTAGACACTGTGGTTAGGTGTTGTCAGGCATGGCTTCGAGAAGGCCGTACGAAAAGAGCAAGGGGCACTGGACGCCGCCGTAGAACAACAGACCGTGAAGATCGCCGCCTAAGATTATTGGCTTTAAGGGACCGTTTCTCCACTACCAGGTCCATTGCAAATGATTGGTTTGAAGAACACGGAAGACCTATTGGCATGCGAAGTGTTTACCGACGAATGAGAAGTTTTGGCTTGTTTTCATACCGGCCACACTGGGTCCTCCCTTTAACTCGAGAACACCGACGTAATCGCCTTGAGTGGTGCAGACAACGGTCACTCTGGGATCAGGAATGGGACAGTATTGTCTTTAGTGACGAGTCTCGATTTTGTTTAGGCATGCACGATGGTCGTGCCAGGGTTAGAAGGCGACGTGGTGAAAGGAGGAATCCACAGTTTTTTGTTGAAAGACATGTTCATCACACTGTTGGAGTTATGGTTTGGGGTGCTATAGCTTATGGTTCAGGTCACCTTTAATCTTCATCAGAGGTAACATGAACGCGCAGCGTTATATCCACGAAGTTCTAGAACCCCATCTTTTACCCTGTCTTGACACCCTGGCAGATCCAACTTTCCAACAAGATAATGCTTGACCACATGTTGCAAGAGTCACAATAGACTTCTTTCAACATAATGATGTCACATTGTTACCATGGCCACCAAGATCTTCCGACTTATCCCCCACTGAGCACGTGTGGGATATGATGGGTAGGAGATTGCTCAATTTGCAACGTCCTCCTCAGACTCTAGAAGCACTTCGAGAGGAGTTGGTGGTTGCCTGGAATGAGATACCACAGGTAGACATTGACCACCTGATCAGAAGCATGTCTAGGCGCATTGGAGAATGCGTAGCACATCAGGGTGCATCCACACATTATTAAAGGTCAAAGGGCTTTAAAGCAGTGCAATCATTTTGAAATTTTTATCATTTACTTATTATGCTTCATTAAGTACTTATACAAAATTTTATTAAAATAAAACCATTTAAACTGGGTGTTCGGATTTATATGTCACTCGTATATCTGAATTAAAGTTAAAGCTTGCTGTACAAGACCGCGAAGAGTATTTTAAAGCGATTTTTTACCTTGTCTATTAGGCTAAAACTGGCGAACTTTTGATTTTAGCGACCGTACAGCTTTTGAATATAAAAAAATTGATTTTTTCTTTTTGTTGCAGGTATGTATAAATTGTGTAAATACTGAATAGCAAGTTGCCACATTTAAGTCGTAAGTAAAAATATAAAGGTAAAGATTCTTCAGCATTTATTTTATATCGACTTGATGTAATTCTCATTGTCGCAAAACAGAATTCTTTTACGCTTGAATATACAGGGTGTAAACATTATTATTGAAATGGGTAATAGAGGCGGTCAAAACAAGTCAAAAAGTTCATATGACCCATGATCCAAAATCAGCACAATCTTACTAATTTTTATAATCTAATCTAAAACGTTTTTAAATTGGCTAATTAACAAATAAATGCATTAAGTTCTTCTGAGTTAAGCCAAAATTTGTAGTCAGTAAGTAAGTTTCATTAAATTGAAACTTTTTGCTACTTTTAACCCCCTCTATCACCCATTTAAGTAATGACTATCGTAACATTTACACCCTGTATAGCAAGCTCCAAGGCGATACAAGCATACGCTTCTGCAGCACCAGAAGTTTTTTCAATACAAATGGAGATTATTTGTTATCATAATAGAGATAAATGGCTTATGTGTACCTGGCAACTTTTTTAACAATAGTTACGCTCATCACAATGGACGCAGTTTATTTTTAATGACAGCCACAAAAGGCTTCACGCGAGCTCGCTGTTGGATGACGGTGATATATGGAATCGAATGTGGCTTTTTTCATGCTCTGGCAACTTATGAAGACTTCAGGAGAATATCGTATTTATAACCAGCGTTGCGTCGGTCACTACTTACGTATTTAGCAGTTTTGTATCGCTGACTGAAAATTTTTAGAAAATTTGAAATTTGGAATAAAATGGATTTGAGGATTTGGGAAGTAATTGGAAGACTCGAGAATTTGGAAGATATTTGACGATTTGGAAAAAAGTTGAAGTTACTTTAGGTCGTCAAATAGAAAATATACCAAAAATCCAAGCTTTCAATTATTCAACTTTTGTTGTTGTTTTGAGACCAAAAAAATCTGAAAATAAATTATAGTTTAAAGAAACTAAGAAAAACAGGGTTTGATAGCAGATTGAATTGAAAAGTAGAAAATAAATTTTAGGTGTAGAAGAATATAAAGAATAGAAAGCCCAACAATCAAATATGACTAATTTATTTGGAATAAGATCTGTATAAAATTAATATATTATCAAAACATTCAATCATAGCAAAAGAGCGTGGGGTGGAATTAGCCATATTTTCATAATAACTCAAATTTTGTCAATAATTCCAACATTTAATGTCCCGCATGGGGTGCTTGTTTGCTATTAATGAATTTTTTAATTTCTTAATTTCTATATTAACCTTATTCCGAATTAATTCATACCTAATTATTCCTATTCCTATTCCTATGCTTGAAAATTATTTTCTACCTTTTAGTTCGAATTTGAAGCCTTTTTTAGTTTTTTTTTACTATAATTTATTACTGTTTTTATCTGTCGAGAAGTATCGCAGGCAAAAGCCAAATAAATGGTAGTGGTATCTCAGAATCTCAAAGTAGGCAACGCACAGCTAGTACTTGTTTCAAATTTTCAATATGCTAAATACAAATCTGAAGTTGGTTTAGCTGGTAGACCCGCTAAATTTCGCGAAAATTGCAAAAAATTCATAAAAATAGCCAGAAATAGCAGAAAGTCGCAAAAGCTCCAGTTATGTAACCAGATCATGTATTACATATCTTTTATGTATTTCGATGTGCCTGTGCCTGCCATGATGGTGCTGTTGCTCCCCGTCACAGAGTGGGGCAGAATTCCAAAAAGCTGGCCAAAATTCAGAAAGTGTCGTAAATGATCTCAAATTCTCTCCTCGGAGGTATTTGGGGTCGCTGAATATGAATCTGTTATCAGAATTACGATTTTAAAAATGGCGGACATAATTTAACCAATTAGTCAAATAAGCCAGTAAAAATGCCCAATTGTTTGTTTATGGTTTTTGGAATCGCTGATTACGAATTGGTTATCAAAATGTTAATTTTCAAAATTTTTTTAATATTTTTAAATAGAAAATATTTTATAATATTTTTAGGTTTTGATGAGTAAAAAATCTTTCGAGTAATGTTTTTTATTTATAAAAATTTCTTTTATAAAAAATTTGCAACAAAATGAATATCTATTATTTACTTCTAGTAACAAAAATCTTGTACTTCATCTTCAATATTCGAATCATTCGATTCGGATTCTGATGTTGACCCACTTGTATCGGAATCGTCCCGTGTCTCTTGTCTGGTGACTTCGGGTTGTTTTAACAATTGTAGAGCTTCTTTATGTAAATATTTTGCCGGTGTCTGGGGCAATTTCCTGATGCTTGAGAGAAATGGATCTGATGTTACTAAGAGCCTATTAAAGATATCGCTCAAATTCGATTCTCTAGATCTAGAGCATTTTCTTGCATTATTTAATCTGTATTTCTTGATGTCGTTATTGCGTGACTCTTGGGCCTCTTTAGAAACTTGTCCGATCAGTAATAATCAATGCATTACAGTCACACGCCCATTAATGTCACGCCATGTATTTCTCCCTAAAAATTAGTCTAACTATTCTTTGAGCACTCCTGAGCAGCCAGATTTTTACTATATTATATTTCATACTATACACTATCACTTCCTTGTCGAAACAAGATCGAGACATTTTTAAAACTACTTTAGAAGATCGATTTTAGAAAAAAAATATACAATTATTTATGTTTATTTGTTGTAAAATTTAAATATTTCAAACATAAAATAAGCAACAACTGTGCATAACTATATATTCTGCATACCCTCAGAAAGTGATATTTTGCACAGTTCAAATTGAGATAGCTTCGTCTGTCTTACAGCACTTCGAAACAGGCCAGAATTTTTCGACGTGTACACACATGCTTAGTGCGTACCGAACGACGGCTGAATGTCGACTGATGTCAAGGCGACCCTAGAGCAAGTATATACCTGCCCTGTCCGGAATTTCATTCTAGGACTATCCGTAAACAAGATCTAAATGTGTATAGACGAATAGGTACAACTCAAAAATTTGATTTTTGGCCAGCTTTTTAGGATTCTGCCCCACTGTGCGTCACCACGTGGAGCTGTCCTGGTTACAGTACAAGCTATACGTCTCTCGACGATCTCTTTTATACTCTTGACAACTTTTGTTCATATCTTGGAGGCCATAGTGAATAAAACGGATATCATTAAAACATAAGTGAAATGAAGTATCGGTATCAAGGAGGGTGGAGCACATGATGGCAGATTTTTTCTTGCATGATTGGCATTTTTCACTGTTTTTTTTAGCGATTTGAAGCGACTCGACTTTAGATTTTGATTCAGCTCATCAAAATACATAAAATAAACGAAATATCTTTTTCGGTTGCATATTTGGCAATTTTGCAATATATTGGAAATTTGGAGGGTCTACGATCTCAATAAACTCCAGATTTGAGTTCAGCGCATAATAACAAATGTATTTGATCTAGTTCCAGAAAGGTTTTTAGCCTTTTTTAACGGTTTTCTACAATTTGCTAATACATTTTAGGGTGTACAGGGAATCATTTAAATACATAATCGTAGGTGGGTCTAGTCAAATGTACAAACCACATTTTTATTTTTATTTTTATGTGTTATTCAACCCCGTAAATGCAATGAAATGTATACAGGTACACGTTCACGATGCACTGCGCATCGACCAGAAATGATAGCGTTAAAGAAGAATGCAGCGTTCTTAAAATAGTCCGGCGACCTCCAGAGACTGAAGACTCGCACGCCAGGGGACTCATTATGTGAATGCGGCGACGCGAATCAGTAGCGTACTCAACACTTAATTTATTATATTTGTTTGCTCCGATAAATGTAGAGGCATTCGTATATCAGCGGTTTTAGAAACTTCGGTTCAAGGCTGTATAGTAAACTTGTTTCGCTTCATTTATTGTCGAGCAAGAAGATTGCAGTGCAATATACAGGGGTATTGGAAAAATTTCGTCAAGTAGGTTGACTCGGCTGCCATCGGTTCATAAACGATTATGTTTGGCCCAAGTTAGTCGCTTGAGCTAACTAGAGACATGTCAAACACGCCATAAGTGTCAGCTGCGATACGTTAACATCCCTGCCGGCTTTGCTATCAGACGCAAGACAGGATTCGGCGTATGAAAGTCGCCGTTGCATCACATCATCCCGACCGACCGTGTGTCTCGTCTATGAATATTTAATAATAATAATTTATCCACAATTACATTGTAGTATATAGCCAAATGTTAGACTTACATGGCGAAGTTTAGCATGCTGCTACTCTAACACTTAATCATATAGTCGCTAGCAGATGTTCAAAAGTATACACTATCCACAAACATTTGGTTCATTACATCGAAATTAAAAATTAAAAAAAGAAAAAGGCATACTTTCCAAACCCAAGGACACCAAAAAATTATGAACCTGAATTAAAGACGGAATAAAAAAGAAATGAATTATTACGTAAATTATATGTTTGGAGGGTTGAGTAATAATGTTTTAACTTTTTGTTGAAAGTCAGGTAATTATAATTCTTTATAAACTTTAGGAAGGTCATTATAAATAATAGCAACATTGTAAGAAAAACTGCCTTTAAAAAGTGTAGACGTATGCTGGGGTATTCTATAATATTATTTTCTCTGAGAGTTCTACAGTGAACATCATTATTAAATGAAATTTTTTCCCTCAAGTAAGAGGGTTTAGACGTGTGCAGCCATTTTGTGAACAATAACTGAATAGTGATACTTGACCATGTCATTAATGTTTAACCAGTTTAGAACGGGATATTTCGCTGATATATGATCAAATTTACGTGAGCCAAAGATGAAACGTATACAATTGTTTTGAATAACTTCAATAAGGTTTTTGGTGAAATTGTCTAAACAAGTAGAGTATACGATATTACAATAATTCAGTATAGATCTGACCAATGCTTCACATAGTTTTTTACGCAACTCAAAGTTTTTTTGCAGAACCAGAAAATTGCATGATTTGTTCATTTATCTAAATGTTCAAGAGCTGTGTTACATTGTATGTTTTTCTTTGTGCCCAAAATAATAACATTTTAGAATTTTGTGGATTAATAAGTAGGTTGCGATCGTTTTGTAAAGTTTGAGTAGTATTATTGACAGTAGCTGGGTTAAAATAATGGAGCAACTGCGTATCGTCTGCAAATGACTGGGCATGTGAATTATCAATACTTTTGCTTAAGTCGAACGTATATATGAGAAACAGCAGCGGCCCCAATACAGAGCCCTGAGGTACGCCCGAGGTAATTATTGTCACTTTAGATATTTCTTGGTTGAGAAAAACACACTGAGTTCTTTAATAAAGGTAACTGTCAAAAAATGAGAGGGATACACTGTCAAGACCTACGTAATCTAATTTAGCAAGTAATAATTTATGATTGATGCTGTCAAAGGCTTTCGAAAAGTGTATAGAGATTAACGCTAGAGCCATTTTCTTAACTAAGGCACTTAAAATATTGTCTAGCAGATTGAGTACTGCAGATGTTGTACTATAATTTTTTCTAAAACCGGATTGAGTGTCGGGAAGTATAAAGAATTTTTCTAGGTAAGCGTCAATTGGAACTTTATTATTTTTTCTAAAATTTTTGATAAACTGGTAATAAACTGATAGGTCTGAGATCATTTTGCTCGGTGGGTTCCATTTTTTTTAGGAATTTGAATAATTAGAGCTTGTTTCCATGTGTTAGGAAAGTAGCCTTTTTCCAAACGATGTGGACGATGTGACGGAGAATAACTGGCAGGCAAAGCTGGATCATTGACAGGGATAATAATTTATAGTGAAATACGTACTGATAGGTGCTAAAAGATACTGGGATTTTAACCGTATCAGTATACTGCTACCAATAAAATGAAATATACTTTCTACAATCCCCCAACCTCCGATTTACAACCGCTACAAAATGTTTTCAACATCAGAAACGCCATAAGTTTGAGCGATTTTTATTTTTTTCTTATTTTGCCCCTAGGTCTGCCGCCTCTGGGCCAATGTTCGAAAACAAAGTTTCATCATCCTTGAAATTGTAGTAACGTCGTGTGAAAAATTTCTTCGCAATCGTAGCGACACTTTCCAAGTTATAGAGTGACATGGTTTTTCGTAATGTACATTTCCATCCACAAAACGTAAAACCTCGTTTTCGAAATTTTTCGCGATTACAATACTTCCGCACTAGTAGGCATGGGAAGTAAAACGATTGGCCCTAAAATGTCTCCTCACACAATTTTTGCGGCTCTAACTAGATCAGGGGATTAGAAATTGAGGTATTTTTGCCCCTAAGGAAGAACAAATGAAATATTCTCTACGCCACTGACATTTCTGGAACAACTGTTACATTTTTAAATAGGTTATTTCTTATTCTACCTTCTTCTTTAATAGGCTTGCCCCTGTTTCATCTTCATCTTTATTGAATGTACAGATTGTCACTTCATCTTTTTCTTGGAGTTTCTATACTCCTTTGACCGTTTAGTGACTTGCTTTTTGGTATTCTCAGTAGCCAGTTTTTTCTATCTTACTATGACCTAGTTCCAAAATATTTTGGTGATATTTTGACTGCATTTTATGTCATGCGACGTGAAAAAGCACAATTGTATCGAAGACGGTAGTTGTCAGGAACATAATATTTTATGGTCTTAGGATCATAATATTTTATGCGCAAAATGTGAGATGATATTAATATTATAACAATGAGCTATGTGTGATTTTTTATTCCATAAAACGTGTGGTGTAATAATTTCAAGTGAATTTGCTTGTAACTTGTACTAATACGAGATATTGTAATTTTGAAACACGATATACTAGTAGTACTCCATATTTTACGAGTTACTATTGGTGAGTCTGATGTTTGTGTTCCATAAAAATAGAAGTGGTAGCATTTTTCTTGATATTTCAAATACATTTGCTACAGGTGATTCTTATTTGACAGAAAATAATAGATATTTCTTAGTACAAAAAAATGGAGAGCTGATAATTACAACCGAAAAGGAGATGTTTGGCACCATTGGTAGGTGGCGATCCATATTATGCTTGCACTCAGCACAAATTCAGCAGTTTTCATGAACTTACCGACTCAATAAAAGCACTTCAATTTTTCACTTTTATTTTTTTAAAAACAATATAATCATTACAAAATAATTATGTTATATACATTACAACTTAAAATACTCTATTTACATATTCGTCTTTATTTTTTCAACTCTGATTTCTTATTTTAGTATCTTTTCTACCTACAAAAGATTATTCGATACATATAGTTTATTCACTGAAACAAAGCAGTTACGTCAAGTTTAGTAAATTTGTAACGTA